CTCGAATTGTCCTTTGCTGGTGCCCCCTTGGGCTTGCCAGACCCTCGATCCTCGCCCATTATAGGCTTAAAACGGATCAAGTTCAATTTCGAGAGGATACATTTTCCTATGTCCATGCGAGGAAACTCAATGTTTCACTCGTAAACATAAGGCATGTATCCCAGAGGTTACTAGCTAAAGCCCATGCGGAGAAAAGTAATTTTTCTCACGTAAGCGTAGCTTTCACCCCTACCTAACGGGACAGAGCACAGTTAGAATGCTCTAAATATTAAAGGTTTACAGCAACAGTGGGGAAACTCATAATCCTTTGCCTCGATCCAAGAGAAACAATAGACTAAAGTGAAAGTCAGAAAACTGAAAACATGTAGATCACACATTAGTACAACTATTTATTTGTTAATTAAAACGCAAATTAAAATGCAACAACAATTTAAAACAAATCAGGGATCAAAATCAAATTGAATGAACTTACAACTTTCGTTTGCAAAGACAATTAATTAATCGACTATAGGCCTGACTCTCTAAAAAGTCCCCAGCGGAGTCGCCAAGCTGTCGAAACGATTTTTACGCGGAGCGGGGGGGGCGAGATTTTTGAAACCGCGTCATTTTTAATTATTATCTTTTCAATTGGATTTTTAATTAAAAACAATGTGATTTTTAGAAAACCTCTCGTTTCGAAAATTTGGAAATTCCGTTACGGTAAAAATATAAGGTTCGAGGAGTCGCCACCAATCTTTGATTAGGGTGTGATTGGGCACCCAAAAGCATTTTGTCATTTTAAATAAAAATTAATTTTAATTAAAACGACAAGTAGAGGTCTGCGTTATCAAAATCTGAGTTCGGGAGTCGATTACGTGTGGGGAAGGATTAGCACCCCCACAACGCCCTAAATCGGTACCTAGTCGATTAATTAATTTCTTTGCAACGAATTTCACAAGTTCAAATTTGATTTGATTAGTGATCCCTTTAAACGACAAACATGCAAATTTGCAACATTCAAAGCAACAAAATAGATTAATTTAAAATTACCAAGTCATTAGAAAGATAAAGATATTCGATTATTTAAAAATATCGGGACCAGATCTTTAGTTCAGTTCTAACGACCTTTTCTCGAAAAGTTTAAATAGTCGAATATTTCCTTTTCTTTCGCTCCCAAATTTTAAAGTGGAGAATCAAAATTTTAGTGACAATGACGGGATACACTTGTAATTTAAAATCATCAATAACGACCTTCCAGTAAGTTAAGGAAAGTCATTCTGATAATTTTAGATTAAAAGGGCATTACCCTTAATTCCGATTATGTGATTAGATCGAGTCATGCACATGAGGCTAAACATGCATAAAAGCTACACCTAAATATACGAACGCTAACAACATGCTCGGAATGTGATATCTCAATAAAGATCCCATACACATTTAAAATATATATATATATATATATATACACTCTATACATAGCTATACTTAATGAACAAAGATGGCCTAAACACAACCAACGAAAACATAGCATAACAAATTATAAGATTTCAGAAAATAATTATATTTAAATTAAACTTTAATATCCTACTTATGAATAAAATACAAATTAAGGTAGAAATGCTAGCATTATACCGTACTGAATACTAAGAGCTGAAATGAAACTATTCTCATTACAAGGGACTAAAAACAAAATAGAACAAAACACACTCAGGACTAAAATGCAACATACAAAAATGCGGATGTCGAATGTTTAAGACGACAAAGATTTAAACACAACAAAACATAGGGCTAAAATAAAAGAACTCGAAACAACAGGCCAGAAACATAAATAACACAAGATATGAATTAACAAACGAGATGGACTAAAATAAATGTCCTGAAATTTAAGAGTCAAATACATAAAACTGTGAAAAACTTTAAACAACATGGTTCGTACTAAAATGTAGCAAACATAAAGATTGAGAGCCCAATTTAAGATTTCCACAACATCAAAGCGGGGATTAAAACAAAACAGTTGAGAACTGCAGGGACCGCGACGTGGTTAAACCTCTCCTAGGCTCGGGTTCAAACGACGTCGTTTTGGAAGCTGAACATATTAGGTGCCTTTGGTTTATTTTTAACCTAATTTTCATTTTCCCTTTAGTTTCATTTTAGCAAACTTATCCCCCCCCCCCCCCGCCGTTCTCAACTTCTCTCCCTCAAACTCTCTCCTAACCCTCGACGAAGCCCAAGACCTCCCTGGTATCTGCCGTAGCAACCGCCGTGGTTGCTACCTCCAAACGACCCCGACGAGAACCCCTTCAAGTACCAACCTAAACCGGCAACCTAAACCCAAACTAAACTTGAAAACCCAACCGGCTTCACCCTCTAGTAAACCTACAAAAACCACGGCCATCGCGACCTTTTTTCTTCCCCAAAAGACTCCGATGAGAGCCACCATCCAACTACCCGGCCAACATATGACCAAATCTACACCGAACCCTCCAAATCCCTAAAGCTCGAGACCTAAAACCGACATGCACGACTCCAAATGAACGGGAAGCAAAAGGTTTTACCTTATCGCAGACGGGGTGTGGATTTCTAGTGACGAAAGTTACTGGATCGAAAGGGTAAGTGTCTTGCCTTGGGTTTGTGTTCTATGGTTGCTGGTTGCTGGGTATTTCGTTTTTTTTTTTGTGTTCTTTTTGGGTTGTATTCTCTGTTTTTTTCTTATGACTGAGGGATTGGTGTTTTCCTTTTTTTTGTTCCTCTCCCTTGCCGATGACCGAGGGCTCTCCCTTACCCCCTTCCTTTCCTTTATATTTCTAGTTTTTAGATTTCTTTCCAGTTTTCTTCTTTTCTGTTTCTGTTCTCGTTTGGTGTGTTTGCAGGGCTCTGGAGCGAGCAAGTCACGGGCGCGAGCAGCCTGGGCACAGGCGATGGGGAACAGTCCCGAGAGACTTCACGTGGGTAGCACCCGGTTGGTTCGTGCTGTCTTGGAGTTCCGAGTGCGTTAGGAGCCGTTGGATCACCTCCGATCTAACGGTGGAGGCTTCTGGGAGGATTGAGAGTCGTTGGATCATGAAGCCAGATCCAACGGTGGAGGCTCAGCTGCGCATGGAGATGGTGACAGGAAACCCTAACGGGTCTAGGGTATCCTCAAATGGGCTGCTACTTTGGGCTTGAGCCTGTTGTATTTTAATTATTTGGTTCGGCCTGTAACAAAAATGGCAATATTTAGGGCATATTTTATATATTTAATTATTCAATTATTTAACTATTTAATTACTTATCCGTATATATATATATATATAACTACATAATACCAAATTTATGCTAATAACCGAAATTGCAATAAAAACAATAATAAAACCCGATTAAACACGAATAACACCCCGGACAAATTGAGCGTCTACACAATGCAATGGCGCGATCCGGGAATATTTTTCAGGGCGAACACATATGTATTAATAATAAAAAAATTTCGTATGGGACAGACACAAATAAAATTTCAGGATAAACACTTTCAGTAAAATGAACAACTAATATAAAGAAACTTGAATTCAAGGGTGTGCACAATAAAATTTTAGGATTGACACATTTAATAAAGTGAACAACTAATATAAAAAAATTTTAGGATTGACACATTTAATAAAATTCTGGGTTGAATGATTAGTGCACTTTATCAATGTTGCGCAGTCATGGCAATCGTTAGTAATTAGTTGAATTGCTCTATTGTTATCAAAATTTTCTCATTCCTATCTACGGGATTGGTTTGAATAATAAACAACTTACTTTCAATTAAGTATGTTTTGAATTTAAAGTTTTATACATATAAAAAATCTTCGCTAAAATACTCACTCACTAAAATTAATTATACGACGCAAATCAATTAATATTAATTAAGAAAAAACTCTGAAGTTGTACAGACAAATGATGAGGTTCCATCTACAAAAATAAGGGGGCATTATTGGGGAACCATATGTGCGGTGCACAAAATGCCATCTTGTACTACCTCATTCAATAACCACAAGCACATCAATGAGTGTTATAGTTGGAGTTTTATTAATATACTTTTATATAATTATCGGTGTTTGATCTATTGAGATACTAATTTAGATTAGACATTGTGTAAGTTTATTACGGACTTGTCTCTCTCAATTTAATTTTTTATTCATAATGTTAAGATTAGAAGCTTTGACTTTACTTAAAGGTTTAATATCAAAATAAGTGTTCAAATTATACCACTTTTTCCGAATAAGTTCCCAAACTATTTTTTGATTCATTTCGGTGCCTAATGATACAAACGTTACCATTTTAGATGTTCGAGCCGTCAACGACAATAATTTTCATTGTTAAGTCACACGTGTCACAATCTAGTAATTTTTTAAAATCTTATTTAAAATTTAAAAAATAAAATTATAAATTACTTCAAATACCACTGATCTTTTTAAGCGCGGACTTGAAAATTTAATTGACGTTTCAATTTTGTCAATTTTAATACTAACGTTTAAGTTTAACACGATGACATTTCATCTCTGTGCCGTGACGGTGATGATGTGGCTCCCTCATCAAAACGACATCATTTCGATGCGATCGTTTTGATGCTTAGAAAACCCAAAACGAAGTTGTTTTATTATAGGTATTTGATTAAAAATTGCTTCTCATGAGATTTGAACCAATGCTAAGCACCCAACCACCAAACTAACTTGAGAACTTATTCTATTTTTAACAAAACTAATATATATGTTAAATAATAGTGGTATACTTTCATCTTCCTCGCAAATTCATAGACGTTTCAGTGATGCCAATCAACTATTCGACTAAATGCCAAACTCAAGATTTTGATTTGGCTTCCAGGTTGAATACCCAATCTTCCTTGAAGATTTTCAATTCAATACTCGACGTTCTTGTTAAGAAAGATATTGATCAAGAACCCTTCGGCTAACGTATTATGTGTGCCAAATTATATTTTTGCACTCGTCTTTTCCATTGTCATCTCACATAATATGATACCAAAGCTTTCCTCTTTATATATGTATATGAATTATCTATCTCCTTTATCTTCAAATAGTAAAAACCCCATACAAGCAGTGCAGACATGTTCAAAATGGGATATTGGCAGTGGTAGTGGTTATGGAGGCCAAGGAAGTTATGGTGGTGGTAACAATTATGGCACTGGTGATATCTACGAAAGCAATTCTGATCAGTCTGAACAAATTTTGTTTGCCATCTTATACGTTGATCTTTGCCCTCTATAAAGCTTGATGCTTTTTCAGTGTAAAAAAAAAATCTTGGAAAGCTAGAGCTTGGCTGTTGAAAATCTTGAGCTTGGCATTTTGACGAGCAATTGATTAGCATTACTGAAACGTCTATGGACTTGGATTGATAAGAAAGATGAAAATATACAAATACTATTTAACATATATATTAATTTTGTTGAGAATATAACAAGTTCTTAAGTTAGCATTCAAATCTCATGAGAAGCAATTTTTAATCAAATAACTCTAATAAAACATCGTTTTGGATTTTTTAAGCATCAAAATGGTTGCACCAAAACGATGTCGTTTTGATGAGGGAGTCACATTATCACCGTCACGGCATAGAGATGTCATGTCATCGTGCCGTAATGAATTAATGGTTAGATGGTATAATTGGAGCTAAACATAAACATCAGTGCTAAAATTGACAAAATTAAAACGTCAGTGACATTTTTCGAGTCTGCGCTTAAAGATCAATAGTATTTAAAGTAGTTTACCCTATTTTTAAAAAATAACATTTTGAGATAAACTCAAAACTTTGAAAGCCTTCATTTGAACCCTAAACTCATGTCGATCGTCGCCCTTTTCCGTCGATGAAACTCCACCCAACTTCATCTCCCCCAAAAACCAAAACCTTATGTGTATGGGATCCTAAATTAAATTAGAATCGAATTCTTAAATTTCATTGCAAAGACAACTAATTAATCGACTAGTTACCAATTTAGGGCGCTGCGGGTTGCTAATTTTTCCCCACGCGTAACTTACTCCTGAACTTGACTTTTTGGTAACGCATACCACAAATTTGTTTTTTTAATTAAAATGAATATTTTTTAAAATGACAAATACGTTTTTGGGTGCCCAATCACACCCTAATCAAAGGTTGGTGGCGACTCCTCGAATCATGTTTAATCATTAACAGGTCACTAAATTATTTGAAATCGAGCTTGTGTTTTTTTAAAAAAATTGTTTTTGATAGTACCAATACTTTCTTATTCTCAACAACTAGAATTTTTCACCTTTTCGATGTTAATAGGAGAATATTGTTCGAAGCTCTTCAAAGTGAAGCAGGGAAGAAGCTACTGAGGAGATCTGGAAGAGCTCCTGATGATATTTTCAGTGTTGTTCTTGTTGAAAAAGATAGGTAAAATGATTCATGTCATAAACCGCAAACGACACGGTACTATCCCGGAATCGTATTGTGTCGGTATAGTAAGCACAATATTGTTGTTTCTTTTTATCGTCCGCTTAATCTCGAGATTTATGGACAACCGGAAAGGATAATTGCGGCTTATGGACATGTAGACATGTAGTAGGACATCGCCGGTCATTAAGTTGTTAAGCTTTCCGACTCGATTTGGTTTACCGTCTTTAATCATTAAATTTGTTGATGGAATTTCAGATCATATATTAAATCAGAAGCGGTGTTGAAGATCATTGAATACCTGGAATTGCCTTTCCCTCGGCTTGCATTCTTCATGCAATTCATACCCTTGTAAGTCATCCCTTTCGGATTCTCAATGGTGATCTCTGTCATCATTTCTTTGTTTTCGATTTGCGCCGATTGCAGGCTCGTAAGGGACTTCATGTACGACAACATCGCGAACAACCGGTATGCGATTTTTGGGTATTTGACTTCTTGCAAGATATGAAGCAATACAATGAATAGTAAGTCATATATCACACAAAAATGGAGGGCATCTTGATAAGTCCTGTTGTATATGAGTCCTGATGTTTCATCTTGTTTCTTGACTGTTTATGTTGTAAATTATGAAAGGTCTCACTATGAATACGATACATATATTAAGCATTTATCGTGTTTAAATGTGTTGGTGTCGTGTTTATTACATTGTTTCACCCTGCTGTATATGAGTCCTGATGTTTAAACATATAATAATCCTATAGCGATCCAGATTTCTAACTCTGCGTCGTGAAATCGTGTTGAAATGTACCTAAAACTCGATTTTTCACTGCACATAATCATACATGGAATGGTCTTCTAATGCATCATGCAAGGTGTGTTTTAAATAGTTTTGCCCGCAAGTAGACTCACTAAAATTGATAGTTTAAGTATTAAACACGTAATTTATCAAAAATATTGGCAGGCGAAGTTATAGCTAGGGATATGCGCGTCGTCGCTAGTAATATACATATCCTCCACTATTTCACCATTTTTTTCTCCATTAACATGCGCTAATAATATACATATTCGGATATGCTTATAGATGAGGCGAAGCTAATAACAGTTTTGCTACTTAAGAATACTTAAGTTGAATTAGGTTTGGAAGGTGTTGGGGATAGATTAATAGAGGTGTTGGAGTGCGATCGTTTCTCTCGAAAATTTTAAATTTTCATATTGATGAACTAATTCCATTTCCTCCAAATTATTAAATTAACTTCCTAAATGTTTGTAGATCTCACACAAAATTACACATCAATCCCTATTTTTTACACCCAATTAAGTTCCTATATTTTAAAATTTTATCGATTCATCCATTTGACAAACGATAATTGGTAAATCTAATGGATTTTTTATTAGTTGGTGGCTAATATCACATCACAATTTTATCTAGTGATATATCTAAAAATTTATTTATTAGTTTGTGATAATATGGAGGAGATGAAAATGGAAAAACTGCATAGTAGGGTTTCTCCTAGTACTAATTACACTTCAGGCTTCCACACATTGAGGGATGTTAATATTTTTGGATGTAACAAATTGAAGGACGTTACCTGGCTGTTTCTTGCTCCAAATCTAAGGTCTCTTTGGATAACTGGGTGTGCAAAAATGGAAGAAATACTGAGCGAGGGAAGACTCGGAGATGTTGCAGATGTGCTGGGAATTCCATACCCTACACCATTTCTGAACCTTCAAACACTTGGTCTACGGGAACTACCGGAATTGAAGAGCATATACTGGGATGCCCTGCCCTTCCTATGTCTGAAACGTATTGAAATAAGATATTGTCCTAAACTGAAGAAGCTTCCTCTCAACTCTGACAGTGCAAAAGGGAATCACATCACCATTAGGGGATTCCAAGACTGGTGGGAACAGGTAGAATGGGAGAATGAAGCCACTCGAAATGCTTTTATGCCATCTTTTCAAGAGCCTTTTGACGGAAGAAATCAATTGTGAACCTCATCGTGAATGGATCGATCCTTAAAAGAACTTTAAATTATTTTTATATTTTATATATTAATTTTATATTTGTATCTTTTCTCCTATTTTTCCTTGCACTTGTTTATTGAAGTGAAACAATGTCAAATTTTTTAAACAAAAATATTTTTTCCTTAAATCGTCTCATCCCTATTTTTATTTAGGGTAAACAAATATATATATATATTATATATATATATATATATATATATAATATATTATATATATATATATATATATATATATATATATATATATATGTTTGAGCTTGAAATTTAGTCAAATTATCAATACTATTTTTATTTGACTTAATTAATTTTTGGGTAAATTACAAATTCATTACCTAAATTATTAGTTTTAGTCCTTTTTAGAACTTAACTTTTAATTTTTTCAAAATCATACATAACGTTTAGTTTTATACCTAAATTTTCAAAAAAAATTCAAAATCATACATACGTTTAGTTTTCATTTTAGTACTCGTCGTTAAAAATTTAATGTGTTTAGTAGTTTTGGTCTGTTTTAGTATCTAAACTTTCAATTTTTTTTCCAAATCATATCTAACTTTTAATTTTTATTCCATTTTAGTACCTTGTCGTTAAAAAATAAACCATATAGTACCTAAACTATCAGTTGCGATTTGATTTGGTACATTAACTTTCAATTTTTTCAAAATCATACCTAACGTTTAGTTTTCATTTCATTTTAGTACCACCCCGTTAAAAATTAACGCGTTTAGTACCTAAACTATCAGTTGTGATTTGTTTTGGTACATTAACTTTCAATTTTTTTAAAATCATACCTAACGTTTATTTTTCAATTCATTTTAGTACCCGTCGTTAAAAATTCAATGCGTTTAGTACCTAAACTATTAGTTTTGGTCTATTTTAGTACCTAAACTTTCAATTTTTTCAAAATCATACCTAACGTTTAGTTTTCATTTCATTTTAGTACCACCCCGTTAAAAAATCAACGCGTTTAGTACCTAAACTATCAGTTGTGATTTGTTTTGGTACCTAAACTTTCAATTTTTTTCAAAACCATACCTAACATTTACTTTTCATTTCATTTTAGTACCCGTCGTTAAAAATTTAATGCGTTTAGTACCTAAACTATCAGTTTTGGTATGTTTTAGTACCTAAACTTTCATTTTTTTTCAAAAAACATACCTAACGTTTAGTTTTCATTTCATTTTAGTACCCCCACCGTTAAAAAAAATTAATGTGTTTAGTACCTAAACTATCAGTTGTGGTTTGTTTTAGTTATTTTTATTATTTTTAAATAATTTTTTAAAACCTTTTTAGGATTTTATTTAATTTTTTTTACAATTTTCAATATATATTTTTTATACCGAGAGAAACCTGATTGAGTCGCATTGTAAACACTCCTTTTTATCAACGAGATCGTTCAGTAAGTTCATATAAAAAGAGAGTCAAAGTGGGAATGTCAATATACTATACTTGAGCCTATTAAGCCTTCTTTCAATATCAATTTTTTTTATTTTTGAAAAAGTATGCGACTCTCAGGGCTTGAACCTGAGTCTTGTTGATGACTAATCCTATGCCCTAGCCGATTAAACTATTCCTTCTTTTAATATTAGCAATAAGAAAAAAAGGTCCACCAAAATCCAAACTGCAATAATTTGGATAGCTAAGGCATATGAAATTCATTGTTTTTAGATTTCCATCTAAAATTTTATGGAGAAAAATAATAAATTAAATATTTTATTTTAGTCAAAAAAAGGTATCTTAAACTTATGATGATTCTTCTACGCTCAACGAGCAGCGATGAGCACCACTAACGACGAGCACCATTAATTTAATTTATAAAAATTTAAATGTTAAATGACTCAACGTATGATTATAAATTAATTAAAAAATTAAAGATAAATTAACTAAAATAAAAGGGGCCATTATTGGGGAACCATATGTGCGGTGCACAAAATGCCATCTTGTACTACCTCATTCAATATCCACAACTACATCAATGAGTGTTATAGTTGGAGTTTTATTAATATACTTTTATATAATTATCGGTGTTTGATCTATTGAGATACTAATTTAGATTAGACATTGTGTAAGTTTATTACGTACTTGTCTCTCTCAATTTAATTTTTTATTCATAATGTTAAGATTCGAAGCTTTGACATTACTTAAAGGTTTAATATCAAAATAAGTGTTTAAATTATACCGCTTTTTATGAATAGGTACCCAAACTATTTTTTAACTCATTTTGGTGCCTAACACTACAATCGTTACCACTTTAGATGCTTGAGCTATCAATGACTGTAATTTTTATTGTTAAGTCACACGTGTCACAATCTAATAATTTTAAAAATCTTATTTAAAATTTAAAAATTAAAATTATAAATTACTTCAAATACCACTGATCTTTAAGCACGGGCTTAACATTGAAATTTATGTTTAACACGAAATTTTCATTGTTAAGTCACATGTGTCACAATCTGGTAATTTTAAAAATCTTATTTAAAAATTAAAAATTAAAAATATAAATTATTTCAAATACCACTGACCATTAAGCGCGGGTTCGAAAATGCCATTGACATTTCAATTTTGTCAATTTTAACACTGATGTTTATGTTTATTACGATGACATTTCATCTCTGTGCCGTGACGGTAGTGATATGTCTCCCTCATCAAAACGACAGCATTTTGACGCAACCATTTTGATACTTAAAAAACCAAAAACTATTTTTTTGAAAAATTTAAAAAAACCCCAAAACTACATTGTTTTATTATATGTATTTGATTAAAAATTGCTTCTCATGAGATTTGAATCAATACTAAACACCCAACCACCAAGTTAACTTAAAAACTTATTCTATTTTTAACAAAATTAATATATATGTTAAATAATAGTTGTATACTTCCATCTTCCTCGCAAATTCATAGACGTTTCAGTGATGCCAATCAACTATTCGACTAAATGCCAAACTCAAGATTTTGATTTGGCTTCCAGGTTGAATACCCAATCTTCCTTGAAGATTTTCAATTCAATACTCGACGTTCTTGTTAAGAAAGATATTGATCAAGAACCCTTCGGCTAACGTATTATGTGTGCAAAATTATATTCTTGCACTCGTCTTTTCCATTGTCATCTCACATAATATGATACCAAAGCTTTCCTCTTTATATATGTATATGAATTCTCTCTCTCCTTTATCTTCAAATAATAAAAACCCCATACATGTTCAAAATGGGATATTGGCAGTGGTAGTGGTTATGGAGGCCAAAGAAGTTATGGTGGTGGTAACAATTATGGCACTGGTGGTAGCTACGAAAGCAATTCTGATCAGTCTGAACAAATTTTTGCCATCTTATACGTTGATCTTTGCCCTCTATAAAGCTTGATGCTTTTTCAGTGTTAAAAAAAATCTTGGAAAGCTCGAGCTTGGCTGTTGAAAATCTTGAGCTTGGCATTTTGACGAGCAATTGATTAGCATTACTGAAATGTCTATGGATTTGGATTGATAAGAAAGATGAAAATATACAAATACTATTTACCATATATATTAATTTTGTTGAGAATATAACAAGTTTTTAAGTTAGCATGGTAGTTGGGCATATAACATTTGTTTGTGGAGAACCTTGGTTCAAATCTCATGAGAAGCAATTTTTAATCAAATAACTCTAATAAAACATCGTTTTGGATTTTTTAAGCATCAAAATGGTTGCACCAAAACGATGTCGTTTTGATGAGGGAGTCACATTATCACCGTCACGGCATAGAGATGTCATGTCATCGTGCCGTAATGAATTAATGGTTGGATGGTATAATTGGAGCTAAACATAAACATCAGTGCTAAAATTGACAAAATTAAAACGTCAGTGACATTTTCGAGTCCGCACTTAAAGATCAATAGTATTTAAAGTAGTTTACCCTATTTTAAAAAATAACATTTTGAGATAACCTCAAAACTTTGAAAGCCTTCATTTGAACCCCTAAACTCATGTCGACCGTCGCCCTTTTCCGTTGATGAAGCTCCACCCAACTTCATCTCCCCCGAAAACCAAAACCCTTATGTGTATGGGATCCTAAATTAAATTAGAATCGAATTCTTAAATTTCATTGCAAAAACAACTAATTAATCGACTAGTTACCAATTTAGGGCGCTGCGGGTTGTTAATTTTCCCCCACGCGTAACTTACTCCTGAACTTGACTTTTTGGTAACGCATACCACAAAATTTTTTTTAATTAAAATGAATATTTTTTAAAATGACAAATACGTTTTTGGGTGCCCAATCACACCCTAATCAAAGGTTGGTGGCGACTCCTCGAATCATGTTTAATCATTAACATGTCACTAAATTATTTGAAATCGAGCTTGTGTTTTTTTTTAAAAATTGTTTTTGATAGTACCAATACTTTCTTATTCTCAACAACTAGAATTTTTCACCTTTTCGATGTTAATAGGAGAATATTGTTCGAAGCTCTTCAAAGTGAAGCAGGGAAGAAGCTACTGAGGAGATCTGGAAGAGCTCCTGATGATATTTTCAGTGTTGTTCTTGTTGAAAAAGATAGGTAAAATGATTCATGTCATAAACCGCAAACGACACGGTACTATCCCGGAATCGTATTGTGTCGGTATAGTAAGCACAATATTGTTGTTTCTTTTTATCGTCCGCTTAATCTCGAGATTTATGGACAACCGGAAAGGATAATTGCGGCTTATGGACATGTAGACATGTAGTAGGACATCGCCGGTCATTAAGTTGTTAAGCTTTCCGACTCGATTTGGTTTACCGTCTTTAATCATTAAATTTGTTGATGGAATTTCAGATCATATATTAAATCAGAAGCGGTGTTGAAGATCATGGAATACCTGGAATTGCCTTTCCCTCGGCTTGCATTCTTCATGCAATTCATACCCTTGTAAGTCATCCCTTTCGGATTCTCAATGGTGATCTCTGTCATCATTTCTTTGTTTTCGATTTGCGCCGATTGCAGGCTCGTAAGGGACTTCATGTACGACAACATCGCGAACAACCGGTATGCGATTTTTGGGTATTTGACTTCTTGCAAGATATGAAGCAATACAATGAATAGTAAGTCATATATCACACAAAAATGGAGGGCATCTTGATAAGTCCTGCTGTATATGAGTCCTGATGTTTCATCTTGTTTCTTGACTAATTATGTTGTAAATTATGAAAGGTCTCACTATGAATACGATACATATATTAAGCATTTATCGTGTTTAAATGTGTTGGTGTCGTGTTTATTACATTGTTTCACCCTGCTGTGTATGAGTCCTGATGTTTAAACATATAATAATCCTATAGCGATCCAGATTTCTAACTCTGCGTCGTGAAATCGTGTTGAAATGTACCTAAAACTCAATTTTTCACTGCACATAATCATACATGGAATGGTCTTCTAATGCATCATGCAAGGTGTGTTTTAAATAGTTTTGCCCGCAAGTAGACTCACTAAAATTGATAGTTTAAGTATTAAACACGTAATTTATCAAAAATATTGGCAGGCGAAGTTATAGCTAGGGATATTCGCGTCGTCGCTAGTAATATACATATCCTCCACTATTTCACCATTTTTTTCTTCATTAACATTCGCTAATAATATACATATTCGGATATGCTTATAGATGAGGCGAAGCTAATAACAGTTTTGCTACTTAAGAATACTGAAGTTGAATTAGGTTTGGAAGGTGTTAGGGATAGATTAAGAGAGGTGTTGGAGTGGGATCGTATCTCTCGAAAATTTTAAATTTTCATATTGATGAACTAATTCCATTTCCTCCAAATTATTAAATTAACTTCCTAAATGTTTGTAGACCTCACACAAAATTACACATCTATCCCTATTTTTTACACCCAATTAAGTTCCTATATTTTTAAATTTTATCGATTCATCCATTTGACAAACGATAATTGGTAAATCTAATGGATTTTTTATTAGTTGGTATCTAATATCACATCACAATTTTATCTAGTGATATATCTAAAAATTTATTTATTTTTAATATTTTTTTAAAAATAGAATTATTTTAGAATTATAATATTTTTTAAATAAAATTATATTTAAACATTTTTATAAATTTTATATGGTACTACCGTTGTGTGTCACATGAAAATAATATCTTAGAGATAATTGTTAAAACTTAACTGTCAAAGTTACTCAAAATGCTCAATTGATTCAATTTAACAATTCTAAGTTTCAATTAATTTGATTTTTCAAATTATAGATTTAATTGGATAAAAAAATAAGAGTTTAATATTTGTAAAAAAATTCTAATTTTTTTCAATTTAACAATTCTAAGTTTCAATTAAATTGTTAATTCTCGAGATGAACTAAAATACAAAAAGAAAAGGAAATTTTTTTTTATAATTTTTTTTAAATATTTGTAAAAAAATTCTAATTTTTTTCAATATTTTTTTCTAACATTCATTATTAAAGGCTCAATTTTTGTCAATACTTTCTATTTTTTCTATATTTATTATTGGGGACATACTTTTTAAAATTCAATATTTTCTAATATTTATTTGTTGTTATGAATCTAATTTTTCAATACTTTTTGTTGGAGGTTTAATTTTTTAAGTACTTCCTACCAGTTGGTTTTACCATGATATATTTTTTACACAATAATATTAAGTTATTAACATCTTGAAAATGGATTCAAAATCCTGCTCAAGCCATCGATATTAAAGAATATTCTCATCAAGTCATGTCGGTTAGGCAGAAGAAATCTTCTCATGTCTCTCCTTTTCACATCTCGATTATAGTCATAATGTTGATCACTTTCTTTCTTAACAACAATCGTTACAAGTTTTGTTTATTTTGCTCTATTTTAAGAAAACATATGCTTCTTCACCATCACTGTTACTTGAATAAGGCCCTTAAGCTTTCATCTATTTGATGGTGTCCCACTTGAATCGCTCTCGTTGCATCTTCTGGGTTCAAACTCTGTCGAATGTCGATGTTGCTACCTTTACATAGTAAGTCCATGATGTTACATTGTCGATGCCATCAGCTTCTGAGGATGAACGCGAAGTTGGTTTTCTTTCTTCTCTTATGAGTTCTCTCTATGATAAATGATGGGATTGTGGTTTCAAACTGGGTTTTTTTACCCAAAAATCACCTAAAAATAAAATATTCTCTATTAGTCTTCTTTTTCTAAATATTTTTTAATCTAACATATTTTTAGAGGAGAGAGAAAGAGGCGCGATTGGTGAAAAGTGCCTTAAGAAGAAAGAGAATATAATTGTCAGATTTCTCCTTGAAGACGCATCCCTTAAAGAGAATTTTACCTTGTTTGGAAGACGCATCTCCTGAGACGTGCCTTCCTCATTTTTTATTATTTAATTAATTAATATTTTATTCAATTTTTTATTATTTTTTGTTTAATATATAAAAACAATTAAATAAAAAAATTAAAATTCAAAAACGTGTGTACCTCTAGGAATGGCATGAGATACGAATCCGACAAGTTTCTACCCGATTCGACCCATTATTCTTATTCCATATTTGCTTTTAGTTAAAGGGTTTTCTCTGCATTTTGCAGTAATTTCATAGCACAAATCCTTTGCCTACTCAGTACTCATCTTCCAAACCAAAACCAAAAGCGCATCCTTTATTTTGAAGCAATTTCTTTTTGAAGCTTTGATTTCTTCTTTCTTGTTTTTGTTTCCCCTTTCCTCCATAACAAAAATTAATCTCTAGATTGTTTCTGTGTGTGTTCAATCTTACTTGCTTGTTTTTTTCTCAACCATCGAATTCCAGATCCTCTCACCAGGAAGTCTAGTTTGATTTTGAAGTCCCCAAGTATTTACCAGAGTCATGGGCAATTGCTTCTCTGTACAATGTAGTTTCGAAAATATCCTCATTCGTGGTTGGGATTGCATCGTTGGACGGGCTAATTACGTGTGCAAGCTTAAAGAAAATCTTCCTACCTTATCTGCTGCTCTTGATGAACTGAAGGTTCGAAGGGATGACGTGCAATGGAAGGTTGATCTGGAAGAACAACGGCTACTGAAGCGACTCCATGAAGTTGATCTATGGCTTTCACAGGCGGCAACTATGATAACAGAGGCGGAAAAGTTGATTGAAGATGGCCGTCAACAAAGAAATAACTTGTGTCTCGGCGGCTGCCTCTCCAAGAATTGTCTGTCTACCTACAAGTTCGGGAAAAAGGTGGCCAAAATACTTGAAGACATAAAGGATCACATAAGTAAAGGAGTTTTTGACAAGGTAGCAGAGACTCAGCCCGCTCCTTCAGTTGTATTACGACCCGAGGAGCGGCCAATTGCTCTTGAATCCACATTCGAAAAGGCATGGAGTTGCATCATGGACAAAGATGTGGGGATCATTGGCCTCTACGGCACAGGAGGCGTTGGAAAGACAACACTCTTGACCCAAATCAACAACAAGTTCAGCACCACACCACAGGGTTTCGACATTGTAATCTGGTCGCTGGTGTCTAAAGATTACAATGTTGAAAAGATTCAAGACAGGATTGGTGGGAAAATTGGGTTTTCGGATGAATCTTGGAAAAATAGAAGTGTTGACCAAAAAGCTGAAGATATCTATGGAGTCTTGCGCCACAAGAGATTTGTTGTATTATTGGATGATCTATGGGAGAGGGTGGATTTGAACAAAGTTGGGATTCCAAAACCAACCCAAGAAAATGGTTCCAAACTAATTTTCACCACTCGATTAAAAGAGGTTTGTGGCGAAATGGAAGCTCGACATAATTTTAGAGTGGAGTGTCTGAAATTCAAGGACGCTTGGAAATTATTCCAAGACAAGGTTGGAGATGAAACCCTCAATAGCCATCCAGATATTCCGAAATTAGCCGAGCAAGTAGCCAAAGAGTGTGATGGACTGCCTCTTGCACTGATTGCGATCGGCCGTGCCATGGCTTGCAAGACAACACCTGGGGAATGGAAATATGCAATTGAGAAGTTGAAGCGATCGGCGTTACCCAAAATGGAAAATGAGGTATTTCCGCTTTTAAAATTCAGTTATGATTATCTAGATCACACAATGAAATGCTGCCTCCTATACTGTTGCCTGTATCCTGAAGATTATACTATTCCCAAAAGGAGATTGGTGGAGTATTGGTTTTGTGAAGGGTTGTTGAATGAATTTGATAGAATTAGTGAAGCTCAAATGCAAGGAGACTACATTGTCAACTCTCTTCTCAGTGCCTGTTTATTGGAAAGAGGTGGAGAAGAACGTGTGAAGATGCATGATGTGATCCGTGACATGGGTTTGTGGATAGCATGCGAGGTTGAAGAGAAAGAGAAGAGTTTTTTTGTAAAATCAGGGGCTCAATTATTCGAGGAGCCAGCTTTTAGGGCATGGGAAGGTGCAAAAAGGATGTCGGTGATGAAAAATCAGATTAAAGTTCTCAAAGGAACCCCTAAATGCCCTAATCTTCAAACTTTGTTTCTTAGCGAAAATAACTTGCGGGTGATCAGCGATGGCTTCTTCCAGTTTATGCCTCATCTAACTGTTTTGGATTTGTCGGCGAACATTGAATTAGAAGGACTACCAAAGGGAATTTCACGATTGATTTCTCTAGAATGTCTTGATCTATCTGGGACTGGTATAACAGAGTTGCCAATGGAGTTGGAATCTTTGACAAAACTGAAAATGTTGGACTTGACTGGCATGTTTCTCAGAAGAATCCCACAGAATTTGATATCTAGTTTTTCCGAGTTGCAAATATTCAGGTTGGGGCATCTGTCAAGTGGAGTTTATCCCGAGGAAGACAATGTTTTGGATGGGGGTGATAATGAAAAGCTCATAGAGGAATTGAAAAATCTGAAACATCTGAATAGACTAGGGATAATAATACAAAGCATGTCTGCTCTACAAAGATTTCTAAGCCACCACTTGTTTCGATGCAGCACCGAAGCACTAGACTTGGGGTATTTTAGGGAGACAAATGTGTTTAATGTTTTATGTTTAGAAAACATGGAGCGTCTGGAGAGGTTAGAAATCTTTGGCTGTGGAAACATGGAGGAGATGAAAATGGAAAAACTGCATACCAGGGGTTCTCCGAGTACTAATTATACTTCAGGCTTCCACACGTTGAGGGAAGTTAGTATTGTAACATGTCAAAAATTGAAGGACGTTACCTGGCTGTTTCTTGCTCCAAATCTCAGGTCTCTTTCGATAGCTGGGTGTGCAAAAATGGAAGAAATACTGAGCGAGGGAAGACTCGGAGAAGTTGCAGATGTGGTGGGAATTCCATTCACTACACCATTTCTGAACCTTCAAACACTAAGTCTCTGTGCACTACCGGGATTGAAGAGCATATACTGGGATGCCCTACCCTTCCCATGTCTGAAACGTATTGAAATAGTCGTTTGTCCAAAACTGAAGAAGCTTCCTCTCAACTCTGACAGTGCAAAAGGGAATCACATCACCATTAGGGGATACCCATACTGGTGGGAACAGCTAGAATGGGAGAATGAAGCCACTCGAAATGCTTTTATGCCATCTTTTCAAGCACGTGTTTATTGAAGTGAAACAATGTCAATTTTTTATTTAGGGTAAACAAATATATATATATATATATATATATATAATTTATGTGTTTGAACTTGAAATTTAGTCAAATTATCAATACTATTTTTATTTGATTTGATTAATTTTTGGGTTACTCCGTTTTAGTACTTAAAACTTTTAATTTTTTTAAAATCATACTTAACGTTTAATTTTCATTTCATTTAATATCCACTGTTAAAAAATTAACACGTTTAGTACCTAAACTATTAGTTGTAGTTTGTTTCAGTACCTAAACTTTCAATTTTTTCAAAATCATACCTAACGTTTAGTTTTCATTTTAGTACTCATCGTTAAAAATTTAATGTGTTTAGTACCTAAACTACAAACTTTTAATTTTTTCAAAACCATATCTAACATTTAGTTTTCATTTCATTTTAGTACTTTGTAGTTAAAAAATTAACGCATTTAGTACCTAAATTATCATTTGTGATTTGTCTTGGTACCTAAAATTTCAATTTTTTCAAAATCATACCTAACATTTAGTTTCATTTCATTTTAGTAACTGTTGTTAAAAACTTAATGCGTTTAGTACCTAAACTATCAATTTTGGTCTATTTTAGTACCTAAACTTTTAAGTGTTTCAAAATCATATCTAACGTTTAGTTTTCATTCTATTTTAGTACAATGTCGTTAAAACATTAACGAGTTTAGTACATAAATTATCAGTTTTGGTCTGTTTTAGTACCTAAACTTCCAATTTTTTCAAAATCATACCTAACGTTTAGTTTTCATTTTAGTACTCGTCGTTAAAAATTTAATGTGTTTAGTACCTAAACTATCAGTTTTGGTCAGTTTTAGAATCTAAACTTTCAATTTTTTTCAAAACCATATCTAACATTTAGTTTTCATTTCATTTTAGTACTTTGTCGTTAAAAATTAACGCATTTAGTACCTAAACTATCATTTGTGATTTGTTTTGATATCTAAACTTTCATTTTTTTTCAAAACCATATCCAACGTTTAGTTTTCATTTCATTTTAGTACCCGTCTTTAAAAATTTAATGCCTTTAGTACCTAAACTATCAGTTTTGGTCTATTTTAGTACCTAAACTTTCATTTTTTTTTCAAAATCATACCTAACGTTTAGTTTTCATTTCATTTTAGTACCACGTCGTTAAAAAATTAACGCGTTTAGTACCTAAACTATCAATTGTGATTTGTTTTGGTACCTAAACATTCATTTTTTTCAAAACCATACCTAACGTTTAGTTTTCATTTCATTTTAGTACCCGTCGTTAAAAACTTAATAGGAGAATGAAGCCACTCAAAATGCTTTTATCCCCTCTTTTCAAGCTGATTGACGGAATAAATCAATTGTGAACCTCATCGTGAATGGATCCTTAAAAGAACTTTAAATTCTTTTTATATATTATATATTAATTTTATATTTGTATCTTTAAAATTTTATAATATCTTACCTCTGAATTTTTAAAATACTTTCTAAAAATAAAATCCAACGTGGGTTTCATAACTTACTCATGCTCACACTGTTCTTAAGGGTCAGGAAAAATGGTCTTACCTTATACCATGGTCAAGCCTACAAGCAAAGTTTTAGTATTCGACACGAGAAGTCAATTGAAACGAAATCATCGCCTAGAAGTAACCTGTTCATCCAACACATCAAAGATCTATCATGGCATGACATTTTAAAAATATATATATAATTATGTTTAATTTATCTTTCAAAAAATAAAAATCATAAAAACAATTAAAAAATTTAAACTTTTAGTTGTTTTTATTATTTTTAAATAATTTTTTAAAACCTGTTTAGGATTTTATTAGAATTTATTTTTACAATTTTCAATATATATTTTTTATACGGAAAGAAACCTGATTCAGTCACATTGTAAACACTTCCTTTTATCAACGAGATTATTCGGTAAGTTCATATAAAAAGAGTCAAAGTGAGAATGTCAGTATACTACTTGAGCCATTTTAGGTATTAAGCCAAACTGCAATAATTGCTTAGTTAAGGCATATGAAATTGATTGTTTTAAGATTTCGATCTAAAATTTTATGGAGAAAAATAATAAATTAAATATTTTATTTTAGTAAAAAAGGTATCTTAAACCCATGATGATTTTTCTACGCTCGACGAGCAGCGATGGGCATCACTAACGACGAGCACCATTAATTTAATTTATAAAAATTTAAATGCTAAATGACTCAACGTATGATTATAAATTAGTTAAAAATTTAAAGAAAAATTAACTAAAATAAATGGTAAACTATATCAGTTACCACTTAATTATTGTCCCTTTTCATTTTAACCAATATTTTTGAAATTTTGTCAATCGGGTCACTCAGCTATTTAAATGCATTCAATTAAGTCACTCGTCGTTAATATTTAAGGGAAAAGCTTATGTGGCAGTTAAAATATTTGGTATAATTACACATTTTGGTCACTGTTACTTATATATTCTATCAATTTAGTCCTAATTTAAATAAATTAAAATAAACTTAGCCCTCAAATCAAATGATGCCATGTATAATTACCAAATTCAACTTTTTTTTAATTTATTTTAATTTTAAAAGTTATGATATATTTTATATTTATAACAAATCTTTTTTCTAAAAAATTGAATAACTCAAGCAATAATTTATGATATTAAATTTAAAGCAAACTAAATTTATCGCCCTTTTGATATAGGTCAATCTTTTAGTGAAATTTTTTTCATGCTAAGTCCATCGAGAATCTTATCAATGTAAACTTTTATTAAAGATGAACATAAATTTTTATGGTAGGAGGTGAATTTTTAAAATTTTAAAGGAAGAATTTGTCAAACGTGAAAAAAATATATGTCACATTTTCTATTAGAAATTTACTAGATAAAAATTTCTTAGTTTTACAGGTTATATTAAATCACCTTTTTTTAGTAGAATGTCATTTACAAATAGTAATAGGATAAAAATTTTGTCCGGTAAATTTTATATGCATGGGCTAATCAACTATATTTTCCTTACAATCAAAAGAGGTTATGATACCATTGACGGGATGCTTCTAAGAACCATAAATAGAATTTCTAGTAAAAAAATTATTTCGTTTTAAATATAGAATATGCCATACCTTTTAAAATCTTTTAAAATTAAGATTTGAGGGTTAAGTTTATTTTAATTTATTAAAATTAGGACCAAATTGATAATATATATATAAGTAACAGTGATCAAATGTAATTATATCAAATATTTTAACTGCCACATCAACTTCTTTGTTAAATATTAATTGCAAGTTGCTTAATTGAATGAATTTAAATGGTTGAATGACCTGATTGACAAAATTTCAAAAATATTGGTCAAAATGAAATGAGACAACATTTAGGCGGTCTACTTGTATAGTTTACCCTTTATTTTAAATAAAGAATCTTTAAATTTTTAACTAATTTATAATTATCATTAAGTCCTTGAGAATTTAAATTTTTATAAATTAAATTAACATGACATTTTGCAGCGTTTTGTGTTCACAAACGCCGCTAACTTTTGTGGTGCTGCTTTGACCAGGACTTCTTGCGGCGTTTTTACTATCGCCAAACAGGAAAGCTTTTAGTGACGCTTAACTATAGGACTGAAAAACGCCACTAAAAGTTTATTTTATTGTAGTGATGACAAGAACTATAATAATCTTTTTAGAAATATATATATATATATATATATATATATATATATATATATATATATATATATATATTTAATAATTTATGTGATTATAAATAATATTTGTTCATAATTTTATAGTATAGTAATAACGTACACACATCATGTTAACACAATTACTCAAATATAAATTCTGAAAAAAAAAATATAATAGTTCATTTTATATTCGATAAATTTGAAATGACCATCTAGTTCAGTTGGTAGAGCACAAGGTTCTTAACCTTGAGGTCGTGGGATCGAGTCTCATGGAAGGCATTTCATAATTCGGATGTCTCCTACGGAAGCTGCCCACAACCTAATATTGGGGGCAGCCTACTATCTTACCTCCCCTTATCCCATTACATATGGGAACAAGGGACAACCATTTATATTCGATAAATTTAGAAATAATTTCCAAATATAAGTTCCATGATCAAAAGGATTGACTTTGAGCAATTGGTGATGTGATGAGGAATGATCGTTCCATGGCTCCGGGGGCCACTGTAGATATTTAAATTTTGATTTATTTTGATTTTGTCCCTATTTTTTATTATTAGTTATAATTCGTCCCTGAATTAAAATCTTGACTCGGTCCTGAATGAAATCCTGTTATTTCTGTGCTATCTTTTTGTTTTAGCCCTTGAGTTTCCTAAATAATCTTCCACTGTCATCTTCATGGATTAGATATTATTTCCCAGATTTTCTCTCTATATACTAATTCAATTCTTTCACCTTTTCTAACCAAAAGTTATCTCCTTTTTCATCATTGTATCTTGGGAACAAAAGGGTATTCTCCATTGGAAGAAAATGGCAGCTGTCTTTACATCTCCAACTCAACCCTTTTCATCATCCAATCGATTGAGAGGTACAGTGTTTGTATTCATGGATCGGTCGAGGGGAGTTCAGGATGATCACTACTGAAATTTTTAAATTTTCATATAGTTTAATTATTTTTTATATTTTTTTATTGATGATTTAATTCCGTCCTCCTAAAATTTTATGATTAGTAGATGGCATAAAATTAGGGTTATTTTCATGTCTAAAGTTGTGTGCTTTTCAATGCAGCTAGTAGCTTTATGGGTGCCTCATTGCCCAGTAATTCTCCAAAGTTGAAGAGATCAGTCAAGATTAGTGGGAGAATTAGTGCTGCTGCTACTACTGTTACAAAAGGTCCCATGGAAGATATTAAAGAGTATGGACTCCCAACTTACTTCTATTGATTCCTTTTTCTTACAAAAAGTTGTATGGTGAGATTTGAACCCAAGACCTCGAAGTTCTCGGGATGTCTTGCTTGTCGTTTACGGCAAGCCAAGAACTTGTAGGGGTGGAAAATGGAGGAATTCATCCTCTCCAAATGTGTTAATGTTACATGTTGAACTTAAATGTGCCTCTCAGGTATACGCTTCCTTCGTGGGCGATGTTCGAACTGGGGAAGGCTCCTGTTTATTGGAAGACGATGAACGGTCTTCCTCCGACTTCCGTAAGTGCACCATTGCTACGTTTTGATGTCATGTTGCTTGAGCTATACTCTTTAGTCTTTTTTGAATGACAGGGAGAGAAGCTGAAGCTTTTCTACAATCCAGCCTCGAGCGAACTTGCTCCAAATGAAGACTTTGGGATTGATTTTAATGGTAATTTCTCATACTCTTGTCCCTTTGCCTTTACTAATGTGATAAGAAGTACAGTCCATTGCTCGGTGACGAAAAGAACACAAACCTGTCGAAAACCCAAAATTACTCAAACATGAAATGATTTGAACTCAAAAAAATCAGAGTCCGATATGAGCCTATGACTTGATGAATTTGTAACTCTGCAGGAGGTTTCAATCAGCCTATCATGTGTGGTGGTGAACCGAGACAAATGCTGAGGAAAGCTAGAGGCAAAGCTGATAGTCCAATATACACCATACAAATATGTATTCGTAAGCATGGTATGTATGTTTCATAGATTTCAATTTTCTTTCTTGCGAATTTCCGATTTCTTTTTCCTTTGATTTCCGATCGATCACTTGTCATCATCTTCTCTAGTTTCATTTCGCAGCTGTGAACTTGATATTCTCATTCACAAAATGGAGTTGATTGGGATGGTCCTTACAGACTACAGTTTCAAGTTCCAAAGGCATGGCAAAACAGACCAACTGAATTCTTTAACCAGGTAAAATATGTTTGTATTTGATGCATATTTCGATATGGACATGAAAATATGATCTTCTAAGCTCTCGAAATGCATGAAAGTTTGGAAAATTTTGAATATACTCTATTCGATTCGACACGCACACCTTAATCCGAATATCGTGGTAACAGGGGCTAGCAGGGGAGCAGAGTAAAGAAGATGCATGTGACAGCAATATTTCCAGACACAAGTATTGTTGTGGATAGATGTGTGATGATTGGTAACTTGTCCAAGGAAGGAGTAAGTAAAAAAGAAACCTGTGTTATTTCATCTGTTTTCTTCCTCATAAGGTGAAGCATCAAGTTCATATATGAAAATTCGTAAATCCTTGACTCCATTTGCAGGGCGATCGTTGCAGTCTTGAATCTTGATCTGGTTATGGGATGCATGGACACGAACTCGCACCTGTACAACCCTCTGGCCAATGTAGACGACGGCTCATGTCCTATTGATTCCAATGCTGAGGACTAGTGGTTAGCCAGTTGCATCTCTTATGCATCTTAAATTACTCCTTGTAGTTCTCAAGATTAAAATGAAATGTTAGTTGTATAGGATGTAGATAATGGAGTCATCAACAGTGTTACAAAACAATAGAGGATTGGACCGATCAATTGTTTATCCGGTTTGACATGTCCAACCAAGAATCTTTGATTCGGTTAAGAACAGAAAAAAAATCGAACTCTCTCATCAAGTATCTAGTAGTACTACAACCCAAGACTCGAACTAAAATCATATCAATAGATGGAGTACTCTAGTTTAATAACATTCACCATTTGGAAGGATATCATCAAACACAAGTGCACAGAAGCTGATTATAAAAGCAGTATCTTTTTCTTCAAAATTCGAAGATCTAAGAACATGTTCATTGACAATACCATTACTAGTTCCTCCCTATTGACTACGCTTACTTCATTGGTACCTCACGTAAGAGCAACTTTTTTCCTGCTCTCTATATACTTGCCCGCGAGCGAATCGAATAAAATCCCGGCACCGACGCCAACCGCCAAATCGATCGTGTAGTGAACCCTTGTACCGAGTAATCTCATGGCTTGAAGCGCATTGAGTGTGTCGAATAACCATGCCAATTCCCATCACTGCATTCTCCTCATGTCCAACGATGCAATCACCGATCCATCAATGTGGCCGGAGAAGAAGAGGAAAAATGAGACATTCCCTACAGGAAAATCCATCCCTGACCCTACAAATTCCTGCCATTCATCAAAGCTTCAAACGTTAGCGCTTATATCAAAACCATATGTATGTATACCAATGTTTCAGATCAGAATATTTCAAACCATGAAAATTTAACACAAGCAGCTGACCAATCAGATAGTCTTGTTTTCCCAACCGGATAGCATTATGCAGACGGTCTGGTATTGTGCTCTTCGGAATTAGCCACCCAAGGTTGGAACCCGAAACCAAACCTAGGGTAGCAAAGCTTTAAGGCACTAGTAGGTGCTCAAACAAGACAATACCGAATCGCGAGCACGTTGCTATGCGATGCTACGGGGAGAATGAAAAGTGAGCTTTTTGCTACACGGATCACTGCTGATCAGTTGGAAGAGATTCAGGTGCTTTTCGGGTTTAAGATGGGTCATCTCTTTGTTAGGTATCTAGGAGTTCAGAATTATCTGAGAACTGTTATCCCCTTATTGAGAAGATTAAAGCCAAATTGGGACTTTAGGGTCATCTTCACCTTAGCTATACAGGTCGTTTGCAGCTTGTTCTTTCGATTATTTTTAGCATTGTTAATTTTTGGCGTCGGCGGCTCATTCTTCCCCAAGCGGTTGTTAAACGCATCGAGCAGTTTTGTGTACGGTTCATTCTTCCCCAAGGGGTCTGATTCCTCGGCTGCGGGTGCAAAGGTCAGCTGGGCTCAGGTTTATTTTTCTAAAGTAGAGGGGGGTTTGGGGTTGCGAGATTTAAAGTACTGGAATATTTGCGCCTTTTTTTTCCTTATGCCAGATACCTTGGCTAGACAGGGATCCTTGTGGGTTGCTTGGATTCATTGCTATGTGCTAAAGGGGACAAGTTTATAGCAAGTTGAGAGTAAAAGTCATTTTAGTTGGCCTATGAGAAATGCAGAGAGCAAGCTTTTCCCCTCCTTGGTGGTGTGTCGAACTGGAACATGATTACTCCCTCTTGGCTTTGGTCGGAGATAAGGGCTAAGGGTAGCATTGTTCCCTGGCATAGGTTGATATGGTTTCCTCTTAGGGTCCCTAGGCACTCGGTTATTGTTTGACTTGCGGTCTTGGGACGGCTTAACACGAAGGATAGATTGTTGCGTTGGGGTATTGTTGATGACAATTCTAGTGTGTTCTGCTGCCTATGTGAGGTTCGAGATCATATCTTCTTTTCCTGCCCGTACTTGAAGGAGGTGTGAGGGTAAGTTTTGAGATTGTGTAATATTCCTAGGCCTGTTATGGCTTGGGATCAGGAGCTGCAGTGGGATGTTACTTTTCCTAAAGGAAGATCGCTGATTTCTTGTATTTTGAAGGTAGCTTAGAGCGCTCATTTGTATTTTGTGTGGTCCGAGCTCAATTGTAGAACTTTCAGAGGCCACGAATTGAGCTCAACAAATTGAATTCAAAAACAAAACCCACATTTTCTTGTTGTTTTTGGTTTGAGATCTCAGGATATCTCATAGTCGTCTCGTGATCTCTCATTATATTCGGAATCGAATCGAGTCTAAACTTTTCAAAAGGAAAAGGAAATGAACAGTCGCATACCGTATTAAGAGCGGCTAAAATGGAATTAAGTTCCGGCCACGAAGCCAGTACGCGATGGAAGGAGCGTGTGACGACGAACCCCAGATCAAACGGCGGTGAAGAGTCCGGCACCATCCGGAGCGTGTATTCCACGAAAATGAAAAACAACAGCCCCGTCGCAAAAAAGCAGGGTATCCGGTGATATTTCGCGACATAAACGACGTCGTCCAGTGTCCATTTCATGAACGATGCCTTCCCGTGAGAAATGTCACCGTCGGAGTGATGAACGCCTGTTTTCTTGCTTGCCGTGACTTTGACGCCGTTTCCTTTTCCGTTAGCTCTGCCGGAACGTTTGTGGCGGGGGCTGAGAAGGGTTGTCGTGGCGACGGTTGCCTCGGCGGCGGTCATTGGCTGCTAATGTTGGTCGGAGAGAGGAGATTTGGAGAAATGAAAGCAGAAAGTGACACTGGAGAGTGAATGCTTTGATAGAAGAAAGAAAAATATAATGGCGGGGGTTTACAAGGAACTATTGACAAGAAAGTTGTAAACTATTTTTGGTATAATAAAATATTAGCCACTAAACTATATTCATATTTCTAATATGGATCTTAAATTTTTCTTTGTCCACTATTTTGGCCTTTTTATTGCGATAAACTAAAATGACTCTTCTAATCAATTAATGAGTGAATATGGAGGAATATGGAGGATTAAATTGAAAATAAACTTAAGATCTTGAAATGCTTGAGTCACTGTATTTCGAATTAAACGATTTTGATAGTTAAAAGAATCATTGTTATTTTTAGAGGTTCTGGATTCGAGCACCAGCGACTGTAAGATATTTGAGGGTTAATTATTAAACGATTGAGAGTATTTAAAATATATATTATCGTTTAAAAATGTTTATAACATATAAAAAAATTAAATTCAACAAACATTTTTCATTAAAGTGTACTTATAAAAAGAGTAAAGTAAATAGATGATCTCCCGACCATAGGGTGATATTTTATTGAGTCTCTCGACTATTAAAAATTACAAAATAATTTTCTAATCTGTGTTGCTTTATTATATACAGTGCACCAATAAATGTAACAGAGAATCGAATCATAGTCCTATAGAAATCATATTATAAACACTTCTAAAAGTTTTTATTATAAAATATAAAAAATGGGTAAAATTACCATTTCGGCATCCAACTTTATTGGTTTTGTTATATTAGCCCTTAAACTTTTAGTACATTTCTTTTTTTTTTTGAACATTTTCTACTTAAAGGAGAAGAATTTTATTTCTAATGAGTATTAAACCCACAATTTTATTTTTATCAAATTAATTCAAAAATGATAAAACAATAATTACATCTTTAAACTATCATCAATCATTTTTTTCTCTTTTGTCATGTCATTAAAATATCAATTAATTCATCCTTAATGAAATGTTGGTTTTACTTTTTATTTTTCAAAAATATATTTTTAAAAATTTCAATGAAGTGATTAAAACGATGAGATAGTTGACGTCAGTGTCTCAATAAGAATAAAATAAAATTATTTTATATTATATTTGAACTAGTTTGATAAAAAAAAATAAAAGTTTGAGAATTAAAAATATATATTAAAAGTTTACTCGCTAAAATAATTAAATTAGTAAAATTAGGGGACTAGAAATGTCATTCTCCCATAAAATAAAAACAATGATCATGGATTCCGTTTTCGGAGAATCCAAAGTGCATATTTTCGTGGACTTTTTTTTGTTAGTTTTTTATTCGTTTGATATAATAAATAATTTTATATAGACATAAAACAGTCAATTAATTAACTAAAATATTTCAATAAATATATGTTTTTTTATAAATAATAATAAATATATGATATTTTATCAAACGTTGAATATTATTTTTTGGTAAAAGAACTTTCAATATTATTAATAATATGTTATATCATACCATAACATTGAATAAAACTATATATTTATAAAAATTTAAATTCAAATCTTTGATATATTTTCTCCCATCGAATTTAACGATATCATCGTTGTGTTTTTATATCGAAACTAATCTACATTGTCTTTAAATTATTATAATATGTCGATCCATTTTTAGTTACCCTTATTATCGGAAAATCTTTTTTATTGAACAAGATAATCGTGTTTTTCGATCACTTGATCATCGAACAACTCAGTATATTTGAATGTCTCAGAGAAACCTTTACCCCTATTATCGCTTGATGTAACCTATCTTGATTCGAATCAATATAAAAATGGATTATAAATATTAATACGAACACGAACACGAGCAAAACTATATTAAATTAAAATCATCGTTGCTTTCGGAGAAAACAAAAAGAATCATGGCTGTCGGTGTTGGACTAGCCGTGAACCCGATGGGTCCTGCATATTATATAATATATAGCAAAAGTATAAATGAAGTTTAATATAAAATATAATTTAGTTTAAAAGGCCCAAAAAACGGAGAATATATTACATGAATATGCAGACAAAAGTGTATTTTTGTTTAAATTTAATGATTTTTATTTTATGGAATCGAGGGAAAATCAAATTTAAGTAAATAATAAAAATTAAATTTATTAAATTAATTGAATGAATAAGTGATGAGGATTAAATATAAACTATACTAATTTTATTAACATATTCTTCTATTAATATTAATAATGCATGACTTAATCAGCATTGTAAAAAATTATTATATAAAATCATCACATTTTTTTGAAATCCTAGTTTTATTAAATTGTAAAAAAATTTAAAATTATAATAAGAGTCTACAACTAATATCGTAAATTAAATATATAATTTGGACATTTTTCTATAATGTTGGAACAAGAAACTAGTCATTTTAGATCATATAAAGATCATATATGAAAATGTTAAAAACCCAACCAATAGACTCGAACGATAAATAGATACGAATAAATTTGATTGCATCCGTAAATGAACTAAAAAAGAGGATTAAACTATTGAAAGACCACTGAGAACTGCAAATCAGAACCTAATATAGTGAGAAACTTAGAAATGGAGAGCAAATTGAAGTACTTACCCTAATCGAATTTTGTTGGTATTCATAAGTGATAGAAATCATTTTATCTATTAATAGAGGACAAATTGATGTATTACAAAATTACGCAGCTATTGCCAAAGTTGTAGATATAGTGTTTTGAGAACACACCTTAACGATCGATGGTTAACGATGGCTCTGATGGGTGGTTCAACAATGAAATCACTATTTTAGTAAATGATGTTGAGAAGGGTAGCGACATTGATCCACAATAGGCTCAACAAGCTCTTGAAATAGCGGAAGCTAACTTTAGGAAAGCTGAAGGCAAGAGGCAAACAATTGAGGCAAATCTAGCTCTCATACGGGATAGGACACGAGTAGAGGCTATCAACACAATTTCGTAACTAGTTGGTTAATCAAAAGAATTTTCGTATAAACATAACTTTTGGTTTATACATCCCATTTTGATTTTGTCGATTAAATAGAATCAAATACAATCAAAAGTGAAATATGGTTTTGGTCTAACGAAAAATTTAAAAACTGAAAACGAAAATAGAAAAGGATGAAAAAGATAGAAAATCAATAAAAGAAGGTGGGTAGACAAACTTGACTTCAGAGTAAGAAAGATCAACAAGATTATAAATAAAAGTCATTTTGATCAGTCGTGACGTCGTCAAATTATACTCTGAAAAACATGAAGAGAAAAGAACGATCAAACGACCAATAAAAGAAGATAAAAATATCACAAAGATAAAATTATTCTTATTAAAAAATTAAAAAAAAAAGAATCAATGGTCGATAATCAGCATCACAATGATATCGTCGTAAGCTAAATAAAATTATTTATTTATATATATATATATATATATATCGACACAAACTTTAATAATAATAAAAAAGGGTGAGATTGTTTCTAGGAAAAACCCTAGAAGAAAGATAAAGCAAATCATCGTATTTAAATAGTCTCAAGTATAATTTATCCTACTGAAAAAATACATAAATATGTATGCAAAACGATGAGTCTTCATGAAAATTGTGGGACGTGGTAGGAGGAAGGGTTATTATTATTATATGTCCTAGTACAAAAGTATTTAAATAATATCTCAAAAATATTTTAATATTTAAAGAATTTTGTTGTTAAAAATATGTGTTTAAAATTTTTTTTCGTTATAACTTTAGGTGTTTAGATTTAAAAAAGATTATTGAGTGACACATGTCACGTTCAAATTTTTAAAAAAATTAAAATAGTATTTAAATAAATATGTTTTTTTAAAATCTAGATATAACATGTGTCACTTAATGATTTTTTAATAATATACACATAAAATATAATGGATAAAATTTTATGCACATATTTTTAACGAAAATTTTTTTATACCCAAAAAGTTAATTTTGACTTTAATTTACATACTTATTTTTATATTAAGCCTTATTATATTACTTATTAAATGTTTTCTTTATTCATGAAGACGACAGTTTTCCCATGAATGAATAAATAAATAAAGTAATCTCCCCCCGAAAAGTAAAATAATAAAAAAAAGTGGGACGGTGGTAGGTAGGGCTAAGAATCCACGTAACTTTCTAATGTTTGGCTTTTAATTTGTTTTATTTTTTAAAAAGAGAGGTTATTTTAAAAATGGATATATGTCGCTTTCCAATGTTTAAAACAGGGTAAATTATAATTTTTATCACTCCATTTTAACCTCATTTATGTTTTGGTCACTAAATAAGAGGGGAAAAGTTTTCCTCTGATTTTTGGTGGATATATGACGATCAAAACCTCCATTTGAAGACCTTAATGGCGGAGAGACCTCTCTTGAGACAGGGAACAATATATGTTTGTTCGGGCTCCATCCAACATTGGACAATGAAAATCGGAGAACAAGAACATGAAACGTTCAATATAATAGTGGATCCAGGAATATTTTTCAGGGTGAGCACATATGTATTAATAATAATAAAAATTCGTATGGGACAAATAGAAATAAAATTACAGGATAAACACTTTTAGTAAAATGAACAACTAATATAAAAAAATTTGAATTCAAGGGTGTGCATAATAAAATTTTAGGATTGACACATTTAGTAAAGTGAACAATTAATATAAAGAAATTCAAATTTCTAGACGGATCCTCCAGTGAGTCAGTGCTAGATTTATGGGGTTTAGGTTGATTTTCAGCCAAACGGCCACCATATTTGCCTTCAAGAGCAATGGAAAACTTGGAACTCATCAATCATGTAGGTGGTGGCCAACGCGATGGTCACTCGCGATTAGTAGTAAAATCTGGGTTGAATGATTAGTGCACTTTATAAATGTTCCGCAGTCATGGCAATCGTTAGTAATTAGTTGAATTACTCTTTATTGCTATCAAAATTTTCTCATTCCTACCTACGGGATTGGTTCGAATGCTATTAGGTTATTTGGCATAATTATGATTAATGTTTAAACTATTATTTGTTTATAATTTTTGTTATACTATCTCTGTAGGAAAATGC